AGCTGGGGTTCCCTACACGTCCAATTTGGATGAAAAATAAGTTTTTATAAAAAAATTTACTGTTAGTTGTAGTTTTTGATGCTGAGTCTGAATAAAGTACTTATTTTTCAGTATGGCCGATCTATGAGTCACAATCAGTAGAAACAAGGGAAACTTACCGATCTGTTGTATGCAATTTAGAAAAAATGAATTTTCTAAACGACGAAACAATAGTTTTCGAAATGCATGCGGAGTTTTATTGACATTGACTTGATGGTTAGAATGAGCTATGAAAGTTGATAGGTTTGGAAAAGCAAGGTGATATTATGTCGACTCATATATACAATCGACCGTATTGTGCGTGGCTAGAGGGCTGAAATAGTTATAAATCTACATAAGTCTACTGAGTTCTTAGTGTTAAGTACGAATGAGTCCATTTCAATAGTTTTTCTTTACTGAAAATCAGTAAAAACTTGATTTCTCTTGAAAAAATAGCGAATAGTCATTTTTTTTAATATTTTGAATTGTTTTCGGGCATAACTTACTCAAAGAATATTTTATAGGTGATATTTGTAATCGTTTCATTAAGTTCTATCTAACGATGAAAAAATATAAAGGGTGACAAAATTTTGCTCGACTTTTGCCCTGGGTGCACCTTATATCTGAAATTTTTGTCAGTTTAATTATATATTTCAACATTGAGAATGACGAAATCGACACTGAGGAAGGCGAATGCTGAACTATTGACTTCTAGAGAAAAACATACACCGGGAATAAATCTCAATACTAAGAGACAGTTTAGATCGATGTCGCACTATTCATAAATTACTCAATTGAATTCCTCATATTCTTTTCTCATAAATCATGGGCATTGTAAAGTCTTCTGTTTTTTGTTTTACTCAAAACATTACATCGAAACGTCTGATGACAAACTCTTCATAATTCTGTTTTACTATCTAAAAGATTGTTTTTTGAATTACAATCAAACAGTTTATCATTCGATAGCCAATAAAAAGATTTATTTATTTTAAGAACGCAACGAATCATCTATCATTTCCTATACCTGCTAAGATTATCATCATCGTCATTCTACAATTGATTTTCATATATGAATTATTATTTACAAAATAAAAAATTGTAGGTATAGTTTGTATACTTCTAAATACCATAAATTTCTGATATATTTACTCGAACATAGGAGCTAGGTTAAAAAAAGGTAATAATTAAAATTGAAATCATTGCTTATTAGTTTAGATGCCAAGAGATCGATTACGACCAAGTAATAAATACACAACCAAACCTGTAGAAAATTGTATTAGAAAATTTAATTTCAAATTGCCAATCTTACCGATAATAGGAAAGAAGAAGATAAATAAAACCCAAAGAACTTTTTCAATCAATGTCTTGCCCGAACGAAAAATTTCAATAGCAGCAATAACATCCAAAATAAGAATGATCTTAGAAATAAAATTAAAAATTCATTTGTTTTACGAGAAAATAAACAACACAAATTAATAATAAAGATAATTTAATTACCAGTCCAAGTAGACCGCCGATTGTCGACGCAACAGAATGATAATCAGCTGCAACACAATCAATACAAGCCAAAAGTAGAATCAGAATCGGTGTTGGCTTCATTATAAAACTCATCTTTGAGGTTAATAATAAAACAAGCAGAATCTATATATATATATAATTATATATATATAAATCTAGAATAAAATTTGGCGTGTATGTGTTATATTACTTCTTATGCTTAGTACAGTACCGTTTACGCTTGAAAATAGCCTTTTGTTTCCTTTTTTGTCTATTTGCTATAGAGTAGAATAAATCCTTTGCAACCAATTTGCCTATTTTCTCTTGTCTTTCTGCTTGTCAGCGTTCGCTATCGGATATACAAATAACTCGTATGTTTTTTTTCAGGGCTTCTTTTGTCTTCTTCATCGAGCAAACATTGATGAATCATGCATAAACATAACATCGTATGTTTATTTATGCACCGGGCCTAAGACCGAAAAGATGTGTGCTTGCTCAGAGATTGAAGAAGATAATGCAGACATGGTGAACATAATCCGATGAACATATGTTTCTATTTTAATAAATAACCGGCAACAAAGTCTAATAAAGAACATATTCTAATCAGTTCTATATGAAGATTAGAAAATAGCTTTCATTTTAGAAAATAAATCTAAAAGGAATTTCATTTATTAAAAATTAAATTATAGGCGATCTAAAAAAGATGATGACGACGCAGCACTTGTCAATAAGAAAACAAAGAAAAATTAAATTCACATTTGTATTATCTATTATGATTCAGAATAAGATAATGGCAATTAAAATACTAATAATTTATGTATTCATTAATGTAACAGTTTGAGCCTACTATATAAATCGATCCTGATATGAAATTACAACGTATTTTGATGGTTTTCTCATCGAAGATAAACTTTCATAATCTATAGCGAAAGATATTTTACAAGTGCGAATAGAATTTAAAAAAAATCTATATTATGATGAATTCTACTTCTATTTTTAGGATATAAATGGGACTTGATAATTGACTGCAATAAAATATAAAACACCCAGTGTAGATAATTGTCTATATTTGACGATGAAATTTTACAATTTTATATAAGTGTTTTATTCATCATCTGGTTTAACCCTTTACCGCCGGCTGTATGAAAAATGTTGCCATATGGCGACATCCGGCGGTAAAGGGTTAAGATTGATGTATAAAGAAAAGCTTTATCTATCGTTTATATAGTCATAAGTTTATTTCCTTTTTATTCGTTAGATAATGGTTTTTCAAAAGGAAACAAAAAGAATTGTTAAATAAAAGTAACACGGCAATAAATATTGTTCATAAAATCTTTATGATAAGGTTTTGATTGTTATACATGGAAATCTACTAAAGATTATAAATTTATACAATGAGTATGGGGTGACCATTGTCCTACGGGCAAAACTAGACATTATAAGAGTTTTTAAAGAAATAAAAGCTACCTTTAAGATTTTATCTGATTAATAATCATGAGTTTTTTACAGGAATCTGTTGAAAAAAATTATTGAATAGGAAATAATTATTAGGAGCGTAACCAGAAGAGTTCAGATAGACCTAAGCCAACTCCCATGATGCGTACATGATCTCTCTGGGAGTTGTTTCCGAAGTGTAATATTGTTCGAGACATTTTTTCTAATTATTCAATTAAAAATAGTATTAGATTATCCGTTTCATGAAAAGAAAATTTCAAAATTGTCATACACTGTTTTGGATATTATCAAATGTTTTTTAAGTTGAGTGGTACACAGTAAATATGTTGTTTCTCTATTATTGAGAAAAATATCATGTTTTCAAGTAATTTATTTCAAAATTCATTGAAATAGTTTCTTAAATTAAAATTTTTTAAAATTACAATGTAATAAACGCCGTTGTTGAAATCAACCTTAGTTTATAAACGAAGAAAAAAACAGTATCTGCCCATTGCTTCATTGCAATGCTTGCCGTTTTCTTCTCCAGAGTTTATACTCTAATGTTCTGTTAATGATCGTCCTCAAGCAATCTTCTTAGCAAATGCACTGCAAGACTGTATGCCATAATATTAAAAAGATGCTAAAGAAAATTTCTTTGTTGTCATATATTTTAATCTTATTTTATATGGCACTTAAGACCAATTTCATGATTGGCATACTGGTTTCTTGCTTCATATTGAATCACTGCTTGTCATTCTGCACCACACGCATTTATAAGAAAAAAAAGAAACTTCTTCCCACGATGTTTTTTTTTACATATAGGCAGAGGCATTCAAAAAACATAAATACCATTATCATTCTCGTTTTCTTGAACTGTTCTCAATGAAAAGAAGTTGATTAATCATTAGTCTATTCACAATTAGTTTTTCGCTTCGTTTATCTGATACGCTATTTTTTCTAATTCGGTTCTTCTAATTAATCATAATCTCTTGTTGATATTGTCTATATCATTTACTACTGCAAGCTTACGGCTAAATGGACAAAATTTATTCTGAAGTTTTCTTCTTTAGTATTATAAAGCACACCATATTTTTATGTCATTATCATACACCGCCGCGCTTGTCAGGATTCCAGTAAAAAAATATTTGCAAAGGACGCTCCCCTCGGGAGTTATCAGGACATTGCGATGTATGGTCATTATGAAAAGGCAAGTAAAAAAACAACAGTGATTTATTTATGTAGATGGCTAAACTTTTCTAGCGTTTCTTCATACGAGAAAAGTGCTTCATATCAATTCAGTAACAAAGGAAGTCTCTCAAGTGATAAGTTGCTTTTGACGTATATCAATGTGCATTATATAGATTTTGATGAGTAATAGATAGCATGGAAAGGTCTGAGGCTGTTAACTTATCACTACTTAGATCTTACGTTATTATGACAATGTTTGATTTAAGGTCGTGTTCTTTCGTTGAAATGCTGAAAACTTTTTGCTTTCAAAAATTTCAATGTAAAATCTTTTCTAAAAGCATATAATAAGCTAAAAGATTTGTTTACATGGCTTTTGGCTATTTGTATTTGCTTCTATCTGGGCAAATATGAGACAAAAACTAGAGAAAACACCTGATTCTTTTCACAACTGTAAAAAGTGAAGTACGTCATAGAATATATTTGAGCAGCTTCCATAATATCCTATTCTAAAAGCCGGGTTCTCTAAATGCTATTTAAAATGTTTTGCAGACGAGTTCTTCATTTAATTGAGAAAACATTTACGAAGAAAATAGTGTCGCTTCAAGCTTGCTACGAGTTATCTTGAACTTATCATAACTATCGCAAAATAGACATAGAAGAGCGTTTTCTCTTGTTTTTGTTAAAATTTGTATACATCGCTGTGTTTCGTACTAAGCAGTGATTTGTATGGTAATAAAAATTCTTTGTAACTAGGTTGCAACGTACTTAGGAATATTTTGTTTTATTTTATTCCGAAATGTTCTCTCTAACAAATAATCATTTGTTTCTACTTGTTATTGATACAATCAAAAACATTAGTTTTGATTTCTTGCATTTTAAGAGGCATTTCACGTTAGAATAATAATTAGAATTTTACAAATACTTATCTTGATACGAATGTGTTTTGCAACACAGACTTTATCTTTGGCCTTTTTTTAATCGCTACGGTTAGAAGAAGAAAATTCTCTACAAAACGTTTCTCTTCCACTTTATATCAACGATATAAACAACATAGTACTCTTTATCCCATCTATATCTTAAAATAGGACAGAGAGATGAATTTAGAAGCTTTAAAATAAATCACGATAAATACGCGATTTTTTATTTCACACTTAAAAATCAGTATCTCTTCTAGAAGTAATTGACAGTGATAAGGACTTTGATTTAAAAGCGTTCTGTCTAATCCAACAGTTTGGCAGCAATTAGTTAATAGCAATGGGATTTTCTTTTTGAGGTTACTCATAACTCATTAAAATCTATATGCTGCACATTTTTCCCAATCAAAAACAATTTATCAGTTGGCAGAGTTCTGACGTATGTTTGACTTTATTCTATTATCAATTATTCAGAATAAAAAAGTTTTCCCGGGACCAAGATCTTACTAGTTGCATTCGTATTTGGGAGAGTTTTGAGAGTCTATAATATTTATAGTAAATATCTATATAACTCTATCGAAGAATTTTTTGAAATGATATGTAATCTGATGAACAGAACAATGAACGACTTATTATCTAAAACTAATCCTATTTAAGCTGAAATACACAAAAGCATTCTTTCACTTTAGTTTTTTGTATGCCAGAACAATAAGTATGATCGGAAGTACCTATATATTGCATATTTTGTATTTTTCACACACTGTAATATTCCGACATTCATAATTTGATCACTGTATTCCTATGTTGTTAGTAAAGACAAAAATTTCGTATCCGTAATGGGAAAACGATAATGTCTAAGGTCTGATATTAACATATTTAATGTTAATTAACAATGAAGATTTTAAGAGGAGATAAAAAAGTCATCTGTTTATTTGATTTATCAGCGTCTATTTTTCATAATGTCAGTACAGCGTGGTATTTTTCAATTATTTAAGAATCACTTTGTTTGAAGAGTCATGCTTATCTTTCAATAGCACATACAAAAGGAAGTTTAAAAATAAATAGTCTCTCAATTTTCTTACAAGATCTATATTCTTTTGAGCAATTTGTTAGACTAATACTATTCACTTCAACTGTAGCACAACCTATGTTCGACATCCTTATGTAGTTCGAGTGCGTTGTTCTTTTATTTTTTCCAAATTTTTTATCGAGGAGGAACAAACTGATTTTCAGGCATAGAAATCACTAGAAACCATTGGAAATCACTAGGAATCACCGGAAATCACTAGAAATTATCATACATTAAAGATGTGAATAACGATTCAGTTGTTAGAAATCACAAGAAACAAATGTAAATAAATGTAACTCACAGAAATTCTCTAACTATATAGTGAAAGAAAATATTGATTTCTATTGATTACTGATGATTTTTACTGATTTTCCTTTTTTTTCCAGAATGTGCAATGTTTTCAGTGATCACTGTTGATTTCTATTGATTTCTCATAATTTTTCAACATTTCTGAACGTTTCCAATGATTTCCGCTGCTTTGCAATGATCATGTAAAAACTGATTTCCAG